GTGAGACAGAGAAGCAAAAATTCCACAAGCCTGAGTCACTTGACCCTGGTCCTGAGACTTGTGGCCATGGGATTTCTTTTGCAGTGTAAGCATAACCTTAGGAACCTCAGATCCACTGACTTTCAGTGGGTATGTCTACACTACCCCGCTAGTTTGAACTAGCGGGGTAATGTAGGCATACCGCACTTGCAAATGAAGCCTGGGATTTGAATTTCCCGGGCTTCATTTGCATAAAATGGGCGCTGCCATTTTTAAATCCCTGCTCGTTCGAACCCCGTGCCGCGCGGCTACACGCGGCACGAACTAGGTAGTTCGGACTAGGCTTCCTAGTCCGAACTACCTAGTTCGTGCCGCATGTAGCCGCGCGGCACGGGAGTAACGGTAGTTTGGACTAGGAAGCCTAGTCCGAACTACCTAGTTTGTGCTGCGTGTAGCCGCGCGGCACGGGGTTCGAACGAGCAGGGATTTAAAAATGGCGGCGTCCAGTTTATGCAAATGAAGCCCGGGAAATTCAAATCCCGGGCTTCATTTGCAAGTGCGGTATGCCTACATTACCCCGCTAGTTCGACCTAGCGGGGTAGTGTAGACATACCCAGTGAGACTTGGATCCTGAAGTGACTAGGTTACTTTTGAATATAGAACAGAGGCACTGAATCACATTTGAAATTTTTACCCCTAGACATATACACAAGCAAGTGTAAATGTTCCAAAAGTGTTTTTAAAAAGGCTGGCTTGAGTTTTTTTTTCTTTTAAAAAAGAAATGTATAATGAATGAGCCATATTTTGCACAGTTCAGTAGCTAGCTAGAGACATATTTCCTGGAGGGTTGAAAGTCACTTCGCTTTCAGCCCAGTGCCACAAAACTCACCCAAGGCACATACCAGTAGCTTATCAACTCTGACACTCTATATTTTATTTATAGTGGAATTCTCTTCTCTAATAGTAATAATCAGAAAGGAGTTCCATGTTTTTTCACACAAGACAAAAGCTCATTTGCAAACCACAAAATATTCAGGAAATCTAGACATTCTACTCTCCAGATGTTCTGGCCTGGGTATTTTATCATAGTCTGTAGGTGTAAAAAATTCTGTATCTGGACTGCATACTATTAAAAAAACAAGTACACCTTTTATCAGTTCACTTTTTACTGTACTATTTACTATTTTCTTTGTAAGTGAGTACATTCTCCTCATCCCCTCTGTGTGTGACCTGCTCTGCTGCATCATGGAGAAATGGGGGGCAGAGCTATTAACCCGTCTCTCTGTGGAGAACGAGGGAGTTAACTGTATTATTTTTTTGAACATCATATGCACTTGTGTCTCAGTTTATTCGCTTGATGTTATTGTGCCTAATTTTGGGGAGTTAACTCAAAGAAGGCTGTTGGGGGAGAGGGGGGACAAACAGGACATGAAACAAAGGCAAAAATAAGGAATATCAGAGAGGTAAGATGCTGTCAGAGAGCAAGTTTTATTCTTCTTAGATCTAACGTGGGATCAAATAGTATACTAAGCCACTAAAGTTCCCAGCCTAGGAAAGAAGGGGGACGGAGGGGAGGTTAGGCAGTTGTAGTGACTAGAGGTGAACCTCTGACAGGGAGAGACACACAGAGAATACTGCAAAGGCTGTCACATTGCTAGGCGTAGGGATGGCTGAACAGAGTGGATTTTACCAAAAACTTGCTAAGAAAGAACAAAGTGATATAAGAATGACACACAGAGGCCTTTTGTTGTTTTATTCTTTTTACCATATATCTTTGGATGAATAAAAATATGTTTATTTTGATAAAACTTTTTAAGTCTCGTTAATCAGTTGTTGGTCTTTTAGGGAGTGTCTAAACTGTAGCGCTAGCTCGAAGTAAGCTACACAAATTGCATAACTTCTTTTGAGCTTATTTCTAGATAGCCTATTTTGAAATTTGGTGCCATCTACACAGTGCCAAATTTTGAAATACACCGCTATTCCGACTAGGGATGTAATAGTAAAATTGATTAACTGATTAACCGATAAGCAAAAGCTTATCGGTTAATGATATAGACTACATGCATTTCCCCCTCCCTCTTGCCCTGCCAGTACATTTTTTAGCAGGCTATCTAGCAGACTGGCTCAGTCCTAGCTTGTGACGGGTCGGGGACCTACCCCACCTGCAGCTCTGCATTTAAAGTGTATTAGGAGCTCAGTCCTACCTTATGCTGGGTCCGGGACATATCCCCATTTCAGCTCTGCATTTCAAGTGTATTAAGAGCCAGGTGGGCAGACAGTCCAGTTCATTTTTGACTTGCACCTGGTCAGACCTATCCTAGACAGGGACTGCTGTCACCCTGTGCTGCTGCCTCTTTCTCAGAAGCAGCAGCACAGGGTGACAGACAGCCAGTCCATGAGGGGGGCTGGTTTTTAAATTGGCTTCCCTCGTGGACCAGCTCCCACCTCGCACCCTGTGCTGCTGCCTTTGATACACTGGCTGCCAGCCCTACCTGGGGACTATTTAATAGTCGACTAACCAATACAATTTCAGGAAGTTACTTGACTATTCAATTAACTGATATTTAACATCCCTAATTCCAACAAGTCCCTTAAAGCCAGGACTAGCTGCTGTCAGCAAACTTTACAGGATTGCAGGAAACTTTGCCACACCCAGGATGAGCTAACACCTGGCTAACTAAAATGCCGGACCATGGATGTTGCTGAACCAGAATGCTGGACTAGAGAGGTTCAACCCGTAATTCTATTCATGCTTGTTTTCCTAAAGAGTACCTTAACAATGTTTTCTTTGCTTTTTCAAATTATCATTCAGAATTTCATTTCATCTTCAGTTTGCAAAGTTAAATATATGTTCTAAGGGTCACACATATCTATGAAAAACAGTTAAAATACTGCAAAAGCGGTGAGGAGTCCTGTGGCACCTTATAGACTAACTGAAGTGTAGGAGCATAAGCTTTCGTGGGCAAAGACCCACTTCATCAGATGCATGTAGTGGAAATTTCCAGAGGCAGGGATAAATATGCAGGCCAGAATCAGGCTGGAGATGACGAGGTGGATCCAATCAAGGAGGATGAGGTCCACTTCTAGTAGCTGATCTGGAGGTGTGAATTCCAAGAGAGGAGAAGCTGCTTTTGTAGTTAGCAAGCCATTCACAGTCCTTGTTTAATCCTGAGTTGATTGTGTCAAACTTGAAGATGAACTGTAGCTCAGCAGTTTCTCTTTGAAGTCTGGTCCTGAAGTTTTTTTGCTGCAGGATGGCTACCTTTAGATCTGCAATTGTGTGTCCAGGAAGATTGAAATGTTCCCCTACAGGTTTTTGTACGTTGCCATTCCTAATATCTGATTTGTGGCCATTGATTCTTTTACGTAGGGACTGTCCAGTTTGGCTGATGTATATAGCAGTGGGGCATTGTTGGCACATGATGGCATATATTACGTTAGTAGATGTGCAGGAGAATGAACCAGTGACAGTATGGCTGATCTGATTAGGTCCTGTGATGGTGTTGTTGGTGTATATATGTGGGCAGAATTGACACCGAGGTTTGTTGTTGAAGATGAATTGTAGCTCAGCAGTTTCTCTTTGAAGTCTGGTCCTGAAGTTTTTTTTCTCCTCTCTCGAAATTCACACCTCCAGATCAGCTACTAGAAGTGGACCTCATCCTCCTTGATTGGATCCACCTCGTCATGTCCAGCTTTTTTCTGGCCTGCATATTTATACCTGTATCTGCAATTTATGTTCAAATCATGAGTTGAATCAGTTAACTAAAGCTTTCTTTTCTTTTCTTTTCTTTTCTTTTCTTTTCTTTTCTTTTCTTTTCTTTTCTTTTCTTTTCTTTTCTTTTCTTTTGACCTCTCCAATTCAATTTTGATTAAAATCACAGAAGTCTTACCTTCATCTGGCCGAATATCCTTGTCATCAGGAGTATAACCAATGGCTGCAAGACCCAGACGGTTCATCCATCTAATAAAAGATTAGACAAGGAAGAAGAATATTTGAAGAACTTATAAATGGTAAATGCTGTGGCTTACATTCTCTTGCAATGCAGAAAAAAAGGAGGAAAGAGAAGTGGTAGTCTAAAAACAGAATAGTTTTCAATCTGTGAAAAACCTGACTCATACTTTCATTAGTGTTATGATGTTACATGGAGGAGGCAACCATGGTTGTACAGAGTCCGAGGAACCATGGAAAAATCTGATCTCAATCCACAGCTCAGGGGCATCCATGTGGAGAATCAAACTCTCTGTACTTCTCTCTAGAACTCACTCTGTAGCAGCATAGCATGGTTAAGAGCCAAGATGCTAATGGTCTTCCTATTATATCATGGAAGTGGAGCAGCAAACTTAAAGCATATCAGCTAAAACTGTAAATAGCAGAATTAATTAATCCTGACTTTTCTACACATATTTTCATCAGATACTTGGGGAGCATGCTGTATAGAGCGGAAGCTTTCTAAGTTTGGCCCCCTTCAAGTGCGTACAAATATCTATTGAATCACAGTTACACAGCTTCTGTAGACAGCTTCTGTAGGCACACATAAATCATGAAAGAAAATTCTGTACATGTAGAATTTAAAACTAAAAATGTAAATGTGAATGTAGTTTATGATTGATTTGCGAAGTATTAGTCTAGACCAGTGTTTCTCAAAGTGGTCCAAAGACCCATTCTGAGAAAGCTGCTATCAGGTCCCTCCGGTCTGTTTACTTACCAGCTCCTCAGCTCCGCAGTTCACCATTTGCAGCCAAGGGAAGCCGCAGGAAGCAGCAGCATGGGTCATGCTGCTTCCTGCAGCTCCCATTGGCTGGAAACAGCGAACTGCAGCCAATGGGGGCCACGAGGCTCCATGGCTGCGGAGCTGGTAAGTAAACAAAACGGAGGGACCTGGTAGCAGCTTTCTCAGAATGGATCTGTGAACATACATACTACTAGAATCATGAAAGCAAATTTTCATCTCTGTTATCTTCTGTGATTATCCAGACAAAAATATACCCTGATAGCATCTACAGTAGTATAATCTATAAAGGCATATTTCCCTGACAGCATGCACATTTATTCTTTCATCCCTGAGCTGCTCCTTATTTGACAAGAGGATCTGGTATTTTCAAAACTAGACCATTAAATAATGTATATTTTGGTACTTATTCCCTATCTTCATAGAAAGACACTAATTTTGCATTATACAATGTATTTACTTGAACTGTACAAAAAGAAGAAAATGAACAACATTTGAGTGATACTTTATTGAAATAGAACTCTTCGGAAGGAAGTCTATCAAGAGTTATTCATTTCCTTTTGCCTGCATATAGAATGATCACGTTACATTGAATGAGTTAGCCAATTTTCAGCAACAATGAAACACAAAGATCACAATGGATAGAGAAAAAAGCCTTAATATGAACATCTGTTTTTTCTATGTCAAATTTCTCTTGAGAACTAAAAAGCATTCTCTCATTCACAAATATTAAAAATGTGTGTATAATAGAATTTGAGAGCAATCAAGCTGCAGCCTCAGATATTTCCTTAATAAACAATGACTTAACAGCTATCTAACAGATAGCAAATTCATTATACAGAGAGATTACATGCTTTTTGGAAGCAATTCTGCCCGTTTTAAAATGGTACAACTTGAACCTGATACAGTGAATCAATTCAGGTAAAAATTATTAGCTATGTGACAAGATCACATAAGAGACAAACATTCATAAACAACATGTGTTTTTTAATTATGTTGATTTTTTTTGCGAGATACATGAAAATAGTTTATTACACGTCTTTACTACTTGCATGAGAACAATATTCAACAGTAACTTTTTAACTAACTGAATTTGTGAGTATTCTGATAGTACAGAATATCAAAAGGGATATAAAATGAAGGAAAAGTCACTGCTACCATAAAAAAGAAAGCAATACAGAAGTGAAATAAAATGGCTAATGGTTTAAGCAGAGACTTGTGAGACAGAATGCTTTTGTTCTAATACTAGATCTGTTGCTGACTTACTATGAGGTCCCAGCAAGACACTTAAGTTAGCTGGATCAAAGCTTTCTCCAGTGCACAATGAAGACAATTACCAACTTGATTTTCAGGTTTATATAGTGTTGTATGAATTAATTTGTAGATCTGTGAAAAACTATTAAAATACTAAGTATTATTGTTACTAAATGAAAAAGTGGGCAATTTTGAATGACAAAACATACCATTTTTCACAAACATAAGGTTCCAATGTTAAAACAGACATCTATTATATGTGACTTGCCCTCCCAAATAACTGACTTCAGCAACATACAGGAAATCATTTTTAAATAACGAACAGTTCTTTAACGTTTTCTCCACTATAATACCCAGCAATGTAAGTTCATTTAAAAGAGCCATTTTATCATTTGTGTAATACTTGTTTTTTTTTGACAAAACGCATTGTCTGGCTGTTCTGAAAGAAGGACAGGAGACTTTTGATATGGGTTTAATCAGGCTGCAACTTTATTAGATGTTTGGCAGATAGCAGTGTACTATGCAGGTAGGGTTGCCAGGTATCTGGTTTTCTACCGGACAGTCCGGTATTTGCACCATCTGTCCAGTAGAAAAATTCAGAAAATAACGGACACGTGCAATGTCCGGTATTTTCTGAATTCCCGGCCAGGCACCTGACGGAAGCCTGGTGGGGGCGGGGGAGTGACTGGAAGGTGGGGCCACGATTGGCGCTGGGAGCCCTGTGGTTTTGCGCAAAAGCTGGCTGGGGTGGGGGCCAGGCCTGGCTTTTGCACACGACCAGAGGCTCCCAGCGCCAATCGCAGCCCCGCCTCCCAGCTGGGAGACTGGTTGCATGCAGAAGCCAGGCGGGGGGAGCAGTTCCTAGCCCCTCCGCCACCCCCGCCCAGCTTCTGCTCGCAATTAAAGGGAGTGCCTGCTGGGGGCGCGGCCCAAAGGACTCCAGCTGTGGCCAGTAGCTG